ACCTTAATATACCCTTCTTGAAAAACCCCATGCTGTAGTCTCGTGAGAAAACCTCGGCAGGTAGTTCATTCCACAATGTAAGTGTACGCGGGAGGAAGCTCCTCTGAAACCGCACTGTCCGAGACCACTTAGGTTGTAGCGTGTGGGGATGAATTCCCTATAGATGGCTAGCGGTGCGGTGGTAATTATAAATAAAGAATGAAAGTAATTTTTCAATTTAGCGTTTTTAAAGCATTACATGCCGATACTAAGTACATGTAATATATATTAATTGGCAACCGGGAGATATGTGTTGTATATTATATGACTGATTATATTATACCACTAACTTAAAACTAGCATCTTAAAATCTAGGAAAGGTCATAATAGTAGAATAGAATAGAATAGAATAGAAAATGATTAATTCAAATAAACTTACATTGAAGCACTTTTGAATAGTCATCACATTTTTATTAATCTACCGCTCATTCGGAAAGCTGTCTCATCACAAGAAGAACGAGCAAGAAACTTGTGTGTTGCTCTTTTAAATATTTTTATTATTACAATTTATGTTCTATGTTTGTGTGAATATAAACTACCGATTAGAATAGTAGAAGACTACAGTCCGAAAGGAGTGGTATACCTGAGTGTAGAATCTGCGACGGAAGAAATATTATGTGGAAATAGATATGACAGTGGAATTATTGAATACGAAGGAAGGAGACCTCAATCCTCAAGAAGGGTACAAGGACTCCACGTCAAGCTGAACAGAACTCCATTCTTATTCTACAATTATGACAGTTCCATTTTTTAATAATGTAACGCTATAAATTCCTAGTGAATTTATCACGATGTGTGACCTGACCTCATGCTCATCTTATCGTCCACTGGTGCCCCGCCAGCTTAAACCGTTAGCGCAGGCGGATGTACCATTTCATTATCACCCACAAAAAAGGTAACGCTTCCACTAAACCAATATTTCCTATTTAAACTATAAGCTATAGATATAAAGAAAAATATACTATAGTAGAAGCGTTACAGAACTGTGTATACAGGGTGAGAATATCTATTTTATATATATAAATATATATTTATACTATAAATACATTGTATATAAGTAGGTACATTAATATTAAAGACCGGAACCATCATCATCATCATCATCTGCTTCTTCCTTATCCCATTTATTTGTGGTCGTCGTAATGTGTTTTTCGCTTCCATTCATCCCTGTTCGCAGTCATCGCGTTATTTACTTCGTTTCTTATCATATCAACTTTCACACAGTCCATCCATCTCTTTTTCGGCCTTCCTCTGCCCTTACAACCATCGGATTACCGGAACCGTAGTCAAATTAAAACAAACATGAATAATTTCCTAAGAATTAAATATTGCTGTTTAAATTATACACTCATATAAATATGTAATAACAAATAATTGAAATATATAGAATTATTATAAATACACATAAATATCACACCCTGTATCTATATATACACACACACATTATACCTATACATTAATCATAAATGATATAATTACATACATGCACGCTACGCGTCGTATTTCGTTTCACACATATTAAATTTATTCATTAAGTTTTGTAATCATTAAATTTTTCCATTAAATTTATTAATAAAGCAGACATCACATTAAATGCATTAAATTTAACATTATCAAACATCTAACAATTTATTAACAACAATTTTTCGTATTTCATTCCATAATCAAATATATATGTTTTAGTATTAAACATATATATCGACAGAGTAGCGCTAAATATATATTAATAAGATACTTCAATGAAATTAGAATTAAATATTATATTTATTTAAAATAAATACAATCCGCTTTAATTTTTAATTCAAATAAATAAGTTAATTCGTTGATCAAAGTATATTTTTCATCAGTGTTACAATCATTGTCGATAAATTATTTTGTCTCACCAAATATTGTATTTAAAACGCTAAAAATCACTTCGAAGGTTTACCCCCGTCTCGTTTGCGAGCGTGAAGTTATAGTTGCAAGCTATGGGATCAGCGAGGGTTTTTTTATATGTTTATTTAATACTAACGTAGTCAACACTCACTAACGATACAATAAATATATCTTCACACCATTAACTCTATATGAAATGATCAACTAAGACGTCATCGTGAATACAGCATTTGACAGGCTCACATTTCGTGTTAAATACGAAATTATTTGATTCAACCAGATTTGAACTCGCGACCTTAATGTTCTATAAATCGGTCATAACATTATTAATAATGGAATAAGTAATTCCATTACTAACTAAATTAATGGAATTATAATTAATCCAGTGTACATACAGCACTAGATATGCCCACATTTTGTTTTACATATATATGTATGTCATTTTTTAATTCAGCCAGACTTGAACTCATGATTTTATAGGTAGTTGTAATAATTATTAGGCCATAACATTCTTAATAATGGAATAAGTAATTCCATTACTTACTAAATTAATGGAATTATAATTATTCCAGTTTATAACACGACTATATAGTATATGTGTGTATGTCATACACTTTTTTATACATGCCACATGTAATAGAAAATATATTTTCATTGTCAATAAACTAACATACCTACATATAGCTCATCAACACCTAATTATATCTAATTCCAGACGGCTCAATTCATTATCGACAAATTCCAATAAATTTTTCCATTAAATTTTATTTTGTTAATTTCATTCATCATTCCTGCTTTAGACTTTAAAATTAAAACGTTAACTCTTTATAAATTTGTTAATTTTAGCTTCAAAAATAATCATGAAATATAGATTCGATATTTTTGTAAATAATATTAACAATCCACATTAATATTTTTGTTTATATTATAATAAATACAGGACATAATGCGATAGAAATTGTATTTCCAAAAACAATATACATACCGTTTTGATTTTTAAGTACGTCTTTTTAGAAGTAATAGAAATGTACAGGCAAGTTAGGAATCTTCGTTGTTTTGTTTAAAAACAATTGCATTCTATGTAATGTTTGAGAAGAATGGTAGAATAGAATAGAGATAATCTTTATTCAAATAAACTTAATATATGCACTTTTGAAGTCATAATTTTTACTTCTACCACTCATTCAGAACGCAAACTCATCATAAGAAGAATGAGCAAGTCCTTGTGTGTTACATTTTTTAAATGAATATTATTTTAAGTAGATTTACATTAACAAGGATTAGGCATGCGCCAATCAACATAGAAAACGCTACGCTAAAACTTGCGTGTTTTTTTGTATATAACTTACTTATATCCGTTGTGTTTATTAAAGGTAGACGTAAGTAATCGCCGTTTTTGTCATAAATCCTGTATTTATAAAATACGTGTTCAAAACACGACATTTCAATATATATTTTCATAAAAACAACGTTTATAATACCACAAATCTCCTTTTTAATTTGTTTACAATAAGCACATACCATAATCCATTTGTCCCGATACGGGAATCGACTCCGCGACTGAAGCCTCACTAAAAAGCAAACTAAACGTTCACTTACAGACAGTTAAAGACAATATAAGTGGACCACGTTATGAAGTTACACATTACACTGAGAAGTTACAATATATTGTTAAAAATTTAACTAGTTTATTGATTAGTTCAATTTAACGAGTGGTTTAATTATATAACGCTGTTGTAACTGTATCTTATTTAACTGAAATTTACGGTATAATAATTAATAATTAGTTAATTCACAGTTACAGTTGCAAATACGACTGTATCTGTAACCTGTTGTAATTGTGTTGAATAATAATATTATTATAATATATATATAATTAAATTATATATAAGTATTATCGTCTAATGATTTAATCATTTAATTTATAACTTTTATAAAGTCTTTATCTTAATTCAGTCTCTACCAAGTTCTTTCTTAAGATAATTCTTAAGAAAGAATTTAGAAGGGACTGCTATAGCGATACCATCTTCTGTATCATCTTCTTTATTTAATGTATTGTTATATATTCCAATCTGCTTTTAATGTTGTTGCAATAAAGGATTATAAGTAAATAATAAAAAATAAAAAGGTATAATAATTTAATTTGAATATGAACTTGACTGCCAACCAGAAACAAACAGGTACTTTTTAATTCAACCATCAAAAGGTTTATTCATTAAATGAATTTAATTTTAAAATAAGAAATGTTTGCAACAGCGTTATATAACTATGAAAATATATAAATTATGTTATAGACGAGTAATTGTATATGTATATGTATATATATATATATATATATATATATATATATATATATGTATGTATACCGAAAATACATGGTCACAATTGAATTTGGTTCATAGAAGTACAATGCTTAATATTTCTAACACGGAAACAGTTATTTTTAAGTTAATTCCATTAAACTCCACATTTTGACATTTATTTCCACATTCCAAAATGTTTATTCCATTAAGTCCATCGTTAAATCACAATGTGGAATTAATGGAATAATTTAAACAGTACATTTTACTAGATTATTATAATTTGAGCTATAGAAATCTACAGTTTACATCGATATTGTTTCATTTTTGCTATAATCTGTAATACAATTAAACGCAGACGTAAGGATTTTTTATATAGAAAATAACAAAAATATCTATACATATTAATTATAAGAAAGATAATAAATAAATCATTATTATTATTATTATATTGTAATGTTTAAATAAAAAAAAATACCAATAAAAATGTCAATTTACACAACGCCATCTAGACCCAAACTAAGCCGAGCTTCAGTTTGAGTATTAAACAACTGATATAAATACATTACAATATGCATAGAAAACATCAAATGTTTGTACCGTGCGAGGAATCGAACCCGCGACTATTAGCAAAGCGCTGTGCTCAATAGAGATCAAATCTAAAATATGAAAATAACCTTGAATGGTATCCTGAGAAACAAGAGTCAATAATACAGTAACATAAAAATTAAAAGTAATTCAATTGATTGAAAATAATCCTTACGTCATATCAAAATGGCCGCCAATTTAATCCACGATTATGTCCTGCCCAAGACGGTCCATCTCCGACAGGAGAAAGTCCACGTCTTTCTCGGTGACAGCCGCTGACGAGATGATGTTCCGGAAGAAGTTGGGGCGCCTGTCGTCAGGCTGGTAGCCTACCATGATGGTACCAGCTTGCATCATCTTACCCTTCAGTTTGGCACACACCTGCATCATTAAATTCGAAATATTCATATTAAATTCAAATTCAAATTCAAAATATCTTTATTCATGTAGGTCTATTACAGACTCTTATGATATGTCAAATCTACCGTCAGTTCGGAATGATTTCGAGATGAGAAGAACTGACAAGAAACTCAGCTCGTATTTTTTTTAATGTTGTACATATTTACAATAATACAATTTCATTTAAATTCAAATTTGGGAGAATAAAGTGACCACCAGTATATGCTATATAAAAAAAAAAAAAAAATCATAAAATCTAATCAGTGTCTGTGTGTAGTGCTTGTGGGGACTGGTCTGTTCAGGTTCGAACAACCTGAACAGACCAGTCCCCACAAGCAGCACCCGTACACGAGTATGACGGATGAGCCAGCCATCATTGCACTCAACCATAATGGAGGGAGCACATCGACCCGGCCCACCACGCCGCCACAAGTTTGAACTTAATATCTTAAAGTATCTTATGGTGAGTTACAGTTACACAGTGGAGGGAAGAGGATTGTTAGTAATGTGGACTAAACCCCATTGCTAGCAATGTACCATGTCAGGTTGACCTTCACGCGGTTCCCCCTGGAAACCATCCTGATAAATTCTTGGTGAATTTGTCACGATGTGCTAACTGACCTGACCTCGTGCTTATCCTATCATCCTCCACTGGTGCCCCGCCAGCGTAAACCGTTTGCGCAGGCAGGTGCATCATTCCATTATCATCCATAAAAAAAATCGAGGTTCTAACCCCCAGCGGTGATCTCAGACTAAAGTCGTATCCGTCTGGAGACCATCGTGATAAATTCCCGATGAATTTATCAAGATGTGCTAACTGACGTGACCTCATGCTCATCTTATCATCCTACACTGGTGCCCCGCCAGCGTAAACCGTTTGCACAGGCAGGTCCATCATTCCATTATCATCCATAAAAAAAATCGATGTTCTAACCCCTAGCGGTGATCACAGACTAAAGTCGTATCCATCTGGAGATCATTGTGATAAATTTTTGATGAATTTGTCACGATGTGCTAACTGGTCTGACCTCATGCTTATCTTATCATCCTCCACTGGTGCCCGCCAGCGTAGACCGTTAGCGCAGGCGGGTGCACCATTCCATTATCATCCATAAAAAAATCGATGTTCTAACCCCTAGCGGTGATCTCAGACTAAAGTCGTATCAATCTGGATATCATCCGTGATAAATTCCTGATGAATTTGTCACGATGGGCTAACTGACCTGACCTCATGTTCATCTTATCATCCTCCACTGGTGTCCCGCCAGCGTAAACCGTTAGCGCAGGCAGGTGCATCATTCCATTATCATCCATAAAAAATACCCATACAGTTAATCACACAATCTTTTTACATGCAATAGACCAAGACATCATGTCGAACGCAAAACTATCATTATTAAACATTCAGAGAAAAATATTTATTATTTTATTTAATTTGATTATGTTTTCAAATTTGTTATCTGTGTTTAATTAGAATAGAATAGAAAATAATTTAAGCACTTTTGAATAGACATAACATTTTATTTATCTACCGCTCGTTCGGAAAGCTGTCTCATCACAAGAAGAACGAGCAAGAAACTTGTGTGTTGCTCTTTTGAATTTATTATTCAAATCAAATCAAAATATCTATTTTCATGTAGGTCTACTACAAATTCTTTTGATATATCGTACGGAGTGCTCTTGAGCTAAGAAGAACTGACAAGAAACTCAGCGCATATTCTTTTGAAATGATCATGGTACATGGAATCTATATGTTTACAAAAATATAGATTCATTTTTAAATTCAATTGACCACCAGCATATGAGAAATAAATAGAAATATTCTTTATTCAAATAAACTCATCACAAGCGCTTTTGAATGACTATACTTCGGACAAAAGTATCCGCACTTAACTAAACCCATGGTCCCCATACACGGCATAGTGTACTCCACTATGCCGTGTATGGGGATCCTATGATTTGCGTGGATTACACTCGCCCCAGCTCCCGGCGTCGCTTGTAAATCAACTAGACTTTATAATCTGAAATATTTATGTTCATGACTTTTTTATTACTGACTTTGTTAGTACTAATACCTACTTTATAGCAGTATGGTATGTGTTTCTTTGCTTTTGTTTCGGGCAAACAAAGAAAAAATAAAAATAAAAAAAAATTTTTTTAATTCAATAGATTTTATTTTTGGTAATTTATTTTTTTTATAAATAGAATAGAAAATCAAATAAACTTACATTGAAGCACTTTTGAATAGTCATTACATTTTTTTTAATCTACCGCTCGTTCGGAAAGCTGTCTCATCACAAGAAGAACGAGCAAGAAACTTGCGTGTTAAACTAATGTAATGCGTAGGAATGAAGATAATATTTTAAGAAAGGTGTTACATGTGAATGTGGATGGTTATAAGAGCAGAGGAAGGCCGAAAGAGTTGGATGGACTGTGTGAAAGATGATATGGTAAGAAAGCAAGGAAATAACGAGATGACTGCGAACAGGGATGAATGGAAGAGAAAAACATATTACGACGACCACAAATAAATGATAAGGAAAAAGCAAATGATGATTTCGTGATAAACTCAAAACATTACTGATTGACAATTCTTTTACCTAAAAAGGGTACTTTTCAGAGAAATTACATTATAAGTAGCAATATAAATAATCTTTATTCAAATAAACTCATTACAAGCATTTTTGAATAGTCATATTTTGATTCTACCACTCATTCGGAACGCAGACTCATCACAAGAAGAATGAGCAAGAAACCTGTGTGTTGCTCTTTTGAATAGATGTTTTTTCATATAAATAATTACAGTATAACAAGTAAGAGGCATGGTATAATCAACATAGAAACCGCTACTCACTCATTATTAGTGCAATCAGATAAGTGTCAGCGATCAGCGAGCGATCTACTGTATGAAGAGTCGTGACTCATTAAGAGAGAAATTCAAAGAGGCAAATATTCTCACCGTTGCTTCTCAATTTATATATTCAAATATCCTATATGTTCATAAAAATCTTGACTTATTTCCAAAAAACAGCAATATTCATAATATTAATACTAGATTTAAAGACAAACTTGCTGTCCCCAAGTATCGTTTAGAAAAAGTTAATAGGTCTTTTATGGGAATAGGTATAAAAATTTACAATAAGATACCAATGGATATGTTGGAATTACCCTTAAATAAATTCAAAACATGTGTTAAATCATATTTACTGAGCAAGGCCTATACTCACTAAACGATTACTTGAATGACGAGTGTGCATGGCAATAGTAGTTCATGCACTGAATTTTCATTTAATGTTAGACATAGACACCTATATAAAAATACATTGTAAATAAACTGGCTTTAAAAAAAAAGTAATTCAATTGAGTTTCTTGCCAGTTCTTCTCAATTGGATCTATATACCGAACTGGACGGTAGGGAAAAAAATAAAATTATAATGTAAAAATTTGACGTTCATAAGCGGGCTAAAATGTTCTACATGAATAAATGATTTTTGAATTTGGATTTTAAAGTTTTCTATAAAAACATTATTATACATATCGGAACATATCGGAACGCAGTCTTGCGTGTTGTGTTGATATTGTTTATGTTATATATCTTATTTGACAGCCTCGGTGGTCTAGTAGTTTAGCACACCGCTTTACTATCCGATGGTCGTGGGTTCGATTCCTTGCACGGTACAAACATTTGTATTCATGAGTATGATTGTTTGTATCGGTCTGGGTGTTTTCTATGTATAATATGTATTTATTTATAAAAAAGAAATGTATCCATGTATTTATATCAGTTGTCTAGTACCCATAACACAAGCTCTGCTTAGCTTGGGACTAGATGGCGCTGTGTGAATTGTCAAAAATAATAAATATATAAAATTTTCATGTCATTATGTTAGTTACGATACTCCTCTGAAACGACTTGATTTTTTATGAACTTTTTTATGAAATTTTATATGCATAATCATAGTACTCAAAAACGACTATCTATTTTTCATACCCCTAAATAATGAAGCATGTCCACCCTTAACATTTCATTTTAAATTTTTTGGAAAATATTATATATATATATTTTTTATAATGTGCTATTAAAATACATACAACTTATATTTTCACCCTTCTACCATCATCCCCTATTTTTTAATAGCGATTTTAATTTATATGTTAAAACAACGTTTGCCGGATCAGGTAGTATAAGTAAATAACGTTGATCCGACATCTTACCTTGCCAAGCTTGATCTCCTTGTTGCTGTCATGTGGCAGACTCCTGAGCTGCTTCGGGAGGTACCAGAAGGACACGTTCACCATCTCCGGCTCCAGGATCAGGTAGAACTTGTCAGGCTGTTCCTTGATGCGGCGGACCATGTACTCTGAGAGTTCCATCAAGCGATCCATATGACGCTCAAATCCAGAGGTCCCCTAAGATACAAAATAATTTTAATTAATTCATAATTTAAAGTAGTGTGTCGAAGTCGAAACAGATATAAGTAGAAAAAATCTATACTTCATTAAATAAATAAATAAACTCAGGACAATTCACACAGCGTCATTCTAGACCCAAATTAAGCTAGCTAAAGCTTGTGTTATGGGTACTGGACAACTGATACAAATATGTTTTTTTTCGTAAATACATCCATATTATACATAGAAAATACCCAGATCGATACAAACAATCATAATTATGAATACAATAGTTTGTGCCGTGCGAGGAATCGAACCCGCGACCATCGGACGTAAGGCGGTGTGCTAAACCGCTACACCACCGAGGCCGTCGCATTTACATAGTATAAAACAAAGTCGCTGTCGCTGTCTGTCCGTCCCTATGTATGCTTAAATTTCTAAAACTAAATTTTTTTAATAGATAGAGTGATTCAAGAGGAAGGTTTATATATATAATACATGTACACCCGTGCGAAGCCAGTGTAGGTAGCTAGTAATTTTATAAAGCTAAAGAATTTATTTTATTACATCAGCTACTAGCCATTTTAGAGATTAGCCGGAACAAACAAACAGACAGACAGACAAAAATTGTAAATAATGTTATTTAGGTGTATTTATATTGATATGCATGTAGTAAAAACGGTTATTTCAATATTACGAACAGACACTCCAATTTTATTTATACGTATTTTGTATATGTATATATATACCTTGCCACGCCACTGCAGCCACAGTTTGAAGATGTCGTTGTGGCGGCCACATTGGATGACCTTATCTCCGGTATCATATCTAGGATCGTAGATCTTATCAGTCATGAACAGGTACTCCGCTGACATCGCGTTGCAGCTCAGCAGGATACCCTGGAAAAGAGAGGAGCAGTGATATATCATTGTATATCTTATCTTTGTAAATACATACATACTATATATAGAAAACATCCAGACCGATACAAACAATCATACTCATGAATAGAAATGCACCGTGCGAGGAATCAAACCTGCGACCATTGGAAGTAAAGTGGTGTGCTAAACCGCTAGACCACCGAGGCCGTCAATAAATAGAAATATGTATTCACTAGCTTTTGCCCCCGGCTTCGCTTGCGTTAATTTATCCCCTTAGGGGTGGAATTTATCAAAATCCTTTCTTAGGAGATGCTTACGGTAAAGTAGCTTTATGCATGCAAAGTCTCAGCCCGATCGGGTTAAAATTGACAAAGTTTCATACAAATTTTCATCCCCTATTTTATGCCCTTGGGGATAGAATTAATCAAAATCCTTTCTTAGCGGATGCCTACGTCATAACATCTACCTGCATGCCAAATTTCAGCCCGATCCGTCCAGTGGTTTGGGCTGTGCGTTGATAGATCACTATGTCAGTGAGTTAGTCACTTGAGTTTAGTTTACATAGATACTTTCTTTTGATCTATGTATTTAGATCAGTTGTCTAGTACCCATAACACAAGCTCTGCTTCACTTGGAACTAGATGTCGCTGTGTGAATTGTCCAAGCTTATTATTATTTAATTTAATTCCCATTATCAAGTAATGGAGGATAAGTCAGCTATAAAAATATAATTTGCATGACAGAGTGCGGCCGTCTGTTTGTGTTGCGCATTATGCTAATGCGAGCAGAGTCTGGGGGCGTCGCTATCTGTCGCCAACAGTTGTTTGGTTAGCGCCAGTCAATATTGGCAGATTTTAATATATACGCGGTTGTGTCTGAAAGGGTTTGTGTATTTAACTTAATAAAAACTATATTTAACTATATAACGACTTTTTACCCATAGTACGAGAAGATATCGCTAGCACATGCTCAAAATACAAGGCTCGGCTGAGTGTCCACCCAAATGAACTAGCTCAGAGGTTACAAACTGACAACCTCCCAAAACATAACATACCTATATAACATACCTACTGGATTTAGACGAGCAAAACTCCAGTTCTTAATTCCTGAATGTATGCCGGAGGGCGTCAGTCTTGCACTCAGTTTTTGATTTTGATTCTGCACTCAATGGACTGCAGAGTCTCAATGCCATTTGCCAACCAATCCGATATTATCCGATCGCGGATAAACCAGGAATAAATATATATATATATATGTATATATATATAAGAACAAAAACATTCTTATTTTATTTATTACTTAGCTGTGCTCGCGATTTCGTGCGCGTGGAATTTAACTTTATAGGTCTAAAACAAAAGTAGCCTAAGTTACTCCTTATAAACAAGTGTAGGCACAGTTTCTTCTACTGAACTGATTTTTAGGTAGTTTTCATCCATCGACAGTGATCTCTGAGGAAAATCTTGTTGTATATTTTTTTATTATTTTGTACTGTTAATACACGTGCGAAGCCGGGGCGAAGCACTTGTAAAAGAACGGTTTTTCTCCACTGTTTTGGAATTTTAAACCCGCATTCTATAAAAATAACCCCACTCTCCCCTCCCATACTCTACAAACTCAACCAAACTTAATGGTAATATGAAAAAAGTTCAAAATCCTTTGTAACTATAAACTTCATAATATTATTAGGGGAATTATGATTCTAATGAGCTTAGACTTAAAGTCTGTATTCGTTTGTGATTTCTGTAATAAGATTATGCCTTGTAAACGTCAGAACAATATGCTAAGTTATAAATTCTGTAACTCCGCCCCAGTGGAAGTTCTTTAGTGATGGGAAAGTTACTTATTATCGACTAGCTGTTCCCGCGACTTCATCATCGCAGCCCGGAAGACGTCCACTGCTGGACATAGGCCTCCCCCAAAGATCTCCACGATGATCGGTCCTGCGCTGCTCGCATCCAATGCCTTCCAGCGATCTTGACCAGATCGTCGGTCCACCTTGTTGGAGGCCTTCCCACGCTGCGTCTTCCGGTCCGTGGTCGCCACTCGAGGACTTTACTGCCCCAACGGCCATCTGTCCTACGAGCTATGTGCCCTGCCCATTGCCACTTCACAGCCCGCGACTTCGTTCGTATGGAATTTATCTTTATAGTTCCAAAATAAAAGTAGCCTAAGTTACTCCTTATTACATCAGCTACCTGCCAATTAAAGTCCCGTCAAAATCGGTCCAGCCATTTCAGAAATTAGCCGGAACAAACAGACAGACAGACAAAAATTGTAAAAATTGTTGTTTTGGTGTATATACCGTATTTATATTTATATGCATGTAGTAAATGGTTATTTCAATATTACAAACAGACACTCCAATTTTATTTATATGTATAAATTAAATTTTTTCTGTTATCAGAATATTTTTTTATACCACGATGGTGGCAAATAACTATACGGCCCATAAATGGTTACCGTAGCCTATGGACGCCTGAAACACCAGGGGTGTCACGTGCGCGTTGCCGACCCTTAAGAAACCTTAATATACCCTTCTTGAAAAACCCCATGCTGTAGTCTCGTGAGAAAACCTCGGCAGGAAGTTCATTCCACAATGTAAGTGTATATAATAAGAATGTAATTAATTGCAAAACAATGAATATTTAGGGTTTATTGATAGAACCCAATATAATAATTGTTAGAATTTGTCTATTCGTCTGTACATTTGTGCGTCTTTATTTTAGTATATTTACTTCACTCTTTGGAAGATAAAGAGTAAAGTAAATATTAAGAAATAAAGAAACGGCTACACAACGTTTATTCCTGGCTCGAGGGGGTGAGCCCATCCCTTTTTTTTCATGTTTTTTTTATAACACAGGGGACAAACGAGCATGCGGCTCACCTGATGGTAAGTGATTACCGCCGCCCATGAGCACCCGCAACACCAGGGGAATTGCAAGTACGTTGTCGGCCTTTTAAAAAGGAATAAGCTCTTTTCTTGAAGGTTTCAATATAGTATCGGTTCGGAAATACCATTGCTGGAAGGTGATTCCACAATGTGGTGTGATTGGCAAAAAGTTTCTAGAAAACCACACTGTGGAGGACCGCCATTCATCCAGATGATCAGGATGGTATTTTAGTTTCTGACGGGTGGTACGGTGGTGAAACTCAGCAGCTATTATTAATCCGAACAATTCCTCAGAACACTCCCCGTGATATATGCGGTAGAAAATGCACAGAGATGCAATATCTCGCCGCAAAGCCAATGGGTCGAGTCTGTCACATAGACGTTGATTACCAATGATTCTGGCTGCTCGGTTCTGAATGCGGTCAAGTGGAAGTAGCTGGTATTATTGATATTTGACGACCTCGGTGGTCCAGCGGTCTAGTACACCGCTTTACGACCGATGGTCGCGGGTTCGATTCCTCGCACGGCACAAATATTTGTATTCATGACTATGATTGTTTGTATCGGTCTGGGTGTTTTCTATATATAATATGTATGTATTTACAAAAAAAAATATATCTATGTATTTGTATCAGTTATCTAGTACCCATAACACAAGCTTTAGCTAGCTTAACTTGGGTCTAGATGGCGCTGTGTGAATTGTCCTAAGATTATTATTATTATTATTATAATTATTGTGGTGCTCCGGCCCAGAGATGAGAACAATATTCCATATGCGGCCGGATCTGCGCCTTGTATAATTGCAAGTGATGGGCCGCCGTGAAATACCGTCTCACTCTGCTGAGCACACCAGCTTTTTTGAGGCTATTTTAGCCTTGTCATCCAAATAACCGTAAAGCGTAACATCACTGGATATATCAACGGCAAGGACCTCGAGGGTTGGCTTCACATCAAGGAGAGTGTCTTGAAACTGAGGAGATACGATAAATGGATTCTTTTTAGCGGTAAAATTAATATATTAAGTTTGTAACAAAAAAATAAACTATCGATAAAATAATACATTTAACCGCACATCACTAGAGGCTGTGTCGGCACGCGGCATGTTTAATTAAATTCCTCTTCTGATACTTACAAACATATGTTGCCAATTTTACCCTCTTCACTCTTATACCATAATTAGAAATCAACTTTATTTCTATTGCCATAGTGTTTATATTTCTTTGCGCGTTCAATTCGAATAAGCAATAAGATTTAATAAGGACTTTATGACGATTGTTTTAAGGCTGTTTTTCGTAATGGAGAATAATAATATCGCCATTAGTCACAGACTTGCTGCGTCTGATGGTGCTATGGTGCAGATAATTGTTCAGATTAAATGTTATGAAGAATTTCACAGCCCATATATTTTATCTGTTACAGAAATCAGAGGCAATTGTTTGTTTCTCTCCACCATGATGGCAAAGGAATAGTAATACATGCAGCTTTGTTTTTAGGGTTGACATTGTGAGTGCAAACTATGTTTTTTATTGTAACTAGCTGAACTGGGAAATGTTGTTTTCCAATATAAATTAAGCGGTTATTATTTAGAAAAATATTAATGTACTATTTTTTTTATACTACTATGGTAGCAAACAGGCATACGGCCCATCTGATGGTAAATGGTTACCGTAACCTATGGACGCCTGAAACACCAGGGGTATCACGTGCGCGTTGCCGACCCTTAAGAAACCTTAATATACCCTTCTTGAAAAACCCCATGCTGTAGTCTCGTGAGAAATATCGTTATTATATAGGATATAAAAGATATATTGGAATTACCCTTAAATAAATTCAAAACATCTGTTAAATCATATTTACTGAGCAAACCCTATTACTCACTAAACGATTACTTGAATGACGAGCGTGCATGGCAATAGTTGTTCATGCACGGGATTTTCGTTTAATGTTAGACATAGACACCTATATAAATATACTGATATCTGAAAAAAGGCGAGCACAATAGATCTATGTAGGTCGCAGTGCTGCATAGATCTATTCTACTTCTGATAGACGTTTAACTGATCTGCAGATTCTGCCAAACTGAAGAGGAAACGCCACTACACATCCTATGTGGTTGTAGCCCACTCATGCATAAACGAAATATCTCCTTTGGAAAGTATACACTCTATCCTGAGGAGATAAAAACCATTGCTCCTAAGAATATCCTTCAATTCTTGTCCCTGACGGGTCTAGGTAGCGAACTCTGAAAATGGCGAGCACAATAGATCTATGTAGGTCGCAGTGCTACAGGTGCTACAGTCACTTGACAATAGCCCAAATAACACAATTAAAAAAAATAGACGTGACAGTTGGTGAACAATGTTTCTGTCTACCCCATCTGGGATATGAGTCGTGAAGGTATGTATGTTAAGAACTTACCTCATACTTGAAGTGCACGGTGGAACACTGCAGCAGGGTGCCCATCAGCTTGTGAGGGTTCCACGTCACGGAGTCGGCCCTGGACATAGAAATAGAAATATAAATAATCTTTATTCCAATAAACTTAGTAAAGGCACATTAGAAATATAGAAATAAGAAATAATCTTAATTCAAATAAACTTAATATAAGCACTTTTGAGACACAGAAATAGAAATAATCTTTATTGAAATAAACATAACATAAGCACTTTTGAATAGTCATATTTTTTTAATCTACCACTCATTCGGAACGCAAACTCATCACAAGAAGAATGAGCAAGAAACCTGTGTGTTGCTCTTTTAAATAAATATTGTTCAAATATTATTTCTATTCATACGCACTTTTGAGACATAGAAATAGAAATAATATTAATTCAAATAAACTCATTACAAGCACTTTTGTATAGTCAAATTTTGATTCCACCACTCATTCGGAACGCAGACTCATCACAAGAAGAATAAGCAAGAAAAGTGTTGCTCTTTTGAGTAGATGTTTTTTTATATAAATAATTACAGTATAACAAGTAAGAGACATGCTATAAGCAACATACAAAGCGCTACGCACTCACTCTTAGTGCAATCAGATAATATTGTCAGTGCTATGGATTTTAAGTTTTTTCAACAAAAACATTATTATCATATACAAATTAATTAATTTTATAATAAGCATTTTTACAGGGAAAGTGTTTTATATGTCATTTGAATCTTTTTTCAGGCAGTTTTATAACAGACTCTGGTATTTTGTTGTAAAACGCAATTACTGTAAAACGAATACTAACTTTAGTTAAACGACATTTAGGTAAAATCAGTTTTTTAATCAAATTTTATTACTAGCTGTTCCCGCGACTTCCTCCGCGTGGATTTTAACTTTGTTTTTCTAAAATAAATGTAGTCTAAGTTACTCCTTATTACATCAGCTACCTGCCAAAAGAGTCCCGTCAAAATCGGTCCAGACAGACAGACAAAAATTGTAAAAAATGTTATTTTGGTGTAAGTATCATATTTATATTCATATGCATGTAGTAAAAAACGGTTATTTCAATATTACAAACAGACACTCCAATTTTATTTATACGTATAGATGTCATAGAAACAAAATATGTTTTATAATATTCTGAATATATAGAAGTACAGTAAAAACCTTTAAAAAAACATTTACCTACAGAATAATTTTGTAAATTTCTCTTCAAACTCCCAAAGTCCTTTAATCTGTCTTTGGAGTACTATAATATCATTTTACTGTTCATAAAATTAATACAACCATTAGCCTCATCAATCATGGCTCAGCCGTTCGTTAAATACCGCCAGCCGGGTAGTAGGGGGCGGGGGGAGGCGGGGGTGGCGGCCAAATCCGGGTAAATGGAGCTGCCGCGGGCGGTGGACCGTGTGACAAGTGCACTAGGGTTGCCACATGTATATTTTTATAGCCTAAATGTGTTGCGATTGAATATAATGAAAATGTCGCGAGTTCGAATTTGGGTGATACAAAAACTATGTGTTAATTTATATTTGACGAGTCTCGATGGTCTAGCGCAGAGGTTCCCAAACTATTTTGTGTCGTAGACCCCTTGCCATATTTTTCGGTTTTGGGTAGACCCCCCAAGATTTTTTTGTAAATTTCTAACTGAAGTAAAGTTAGTGTTAAAAACATAAAGTAAAAACAACAAGATGACCGCTGTCGTAGACCCTTTACAGTTTGTCATAGACCCCTGGGGGTCGATATAGACCACTTTGGGAATCACTGGTCTAGTGATTTAGACACCACCTTACATCCAATAATTACACCCAGACCGATATAATCAATCGTACTTATGTATAGTAATGTTTTTATTGTGCGAGGAATCGAACCCACAGTCGGAAGTGCTAAACCTCTACACCACTGAGGTCCTCAAATAAAAGGACAGTAAGCTCAGATATGACGATAGGGATCAGTGCAAGAAGATGATATATTGCACCGACCACAAATAATGGTATAAAGGCAACGTAATGATTTCAATTAAAAAAAAATCTATAATTTAATTTTAATGAAGTTATAAAATAGGATAAAGGCAGGGCAATTATTTTGATAATTATATAATTTAATATTCCTTATTACATAAGCTACCTGCCAAAAAAGTTCCGTCAAAATCGGTTCAGCCATTTTAGTGATTAGCAAAAGACAGACAAAAATTGTAAAAAATGTTATTTTGGTGTACATAGTGATCTATCAACGCACAGCCCAAGCCACTGGACGGATCGGGCTGAAATTTGACATGCAGGTAGATGTTATGACGTAGGCATCAGCTAAGAAAGGATTTTGATTAATTCTACCCCCAAAGGGATAAAATAGGGGATGAAAGTTTGTATGAAACATTGTCAATTTTAAACTGATCGGGCTGAGACTTTGCATGCATAAATCTACTATGACATAGTCATCCTCTAAGAAAGGATTTTGATAAATTCCAACCCTAAGGGCATAAATTAACACGAGCAAAGCCGCGGGTAAAAGCTAGTATAAAATATAATTTCATTTTAATGAAATTGACAACCCTAAGCATTATACTGAGTCTGAGTGTCGGAGTTCACTCGTCAACCTTCACAGGGTACTGGGAGCATAGCAGACGGGCTGTCTGTTGCCTTCCAGGGCGGATTATGTGGGGGTAGCAGGTTCGATTAATGTAATCTTTATTGGCAGGCTATATATTTTCTAAATATGACTAATATTATGAACGCGAAAGTTTGTGAGTATGTTTGTTACTATTTCACGCAATATGAACGGATTTTGATGAAAGAAATAGAAATAGAAGAAATAGAAATAATCTTTATTCAAATAAACTCATTACAAGCACTTTTGAATAGTCATATTTTGATTCTACCACTCATTCGGAATGCAGATTCATCACAAGAAGTATGAGCAAGAAACTTGTGTGTTGCTCTTTTGAGTAGATTTTTTTTATATAATAATAACAGTATAACAAGTAAGAGGCATGTGATAATCAACATAGAAATCGCTACGCACTCATTATTAGTGTAATCAGATAATATTGTTAGCTGAAACTTTACAGTAATATAGCTTATACGTCAGAATTATAGTTAATTTGGGAGTCAGGACTCCATGAAACTGTACACTAATAAAGATTTAAATAAATTAAATAAATAGATATAGGCTATGAATTTCACACGAGTGAAATCGCGGGCACAGCTAGTCATTACATAGTATAAAACAAAGTCGCTGTCTGTCCGTCCCTATGTATGCTTAAATCTTTAAAACTACGATTTTGAAGCGGTTTTTTAATACATAGAGTGATTCAAGAGGAAGGTTTATATATATAATACATGTACACCCGGGCGAAGCCACAGTAGCTAGTCATTACATAGTATAAAACAAAGTCGCTGTCGCTGTCTGTCCGTCCCTATGTATGCTTAAATCTTTAAAACTACGCAACGGATTTTGAAGCGGTTTTTAATAGATAGAGTGATTCAAGAGGAAGGTTTATATATATAATACATGTACACCCAGGCGAAGACGGGGCGAGTAGCTAGTAGGCTATATATTTCAGGCGGGTGTCACCGCTAGTAATGTTATAAAAGCGAAAGTGAGTTTTTAAGTTGTTATAGTAATAATAAAGGTGTTTTTTTTTCATGTTTCGACTTGAAAAATGTAAACTTACAACGATTATTTAATAAAGCAACACGCAAGTTTCTTGCTCGTTGCCCTTGTGATGAATAAATTCAAAACATCTGTTAAATCATATTTACTTAGAAAAGCTAAGAAAGGATTTTGATAAAATCCACCCCGAGGGGGTAAAATAACGCGAGCGAAGCCGCTGGGAAAAGCTAGTTTTAAATGAAGTTGACTTTCATAAGCGGCTCAAATGTCCTACATGAATATATGATTTTTGAATTTGATTTTGTCCACAGGTTAAGACTACGAATATAAACGTTTCACACTAGTTTCAGAGTTTTTGTGAAACTGGAAATTAGGTACCCTTAAATAAATTTAAAACATCTGTTAAATCATATTCACTGAGCAAAGCCTATTACTCACTAAACGATTACTTGAATGACGAGCGTGCATGGCAATAGTTGTTCATGCACGGGATTTTCATTTAATGTTAAACATAGACACCTATATAAACATACATTGTAAATACACTGGCTGTAAAAAAAAAGATTTTCAATTGAGTTTCTTGCCAGTTCTTTTCAATTGGATCTATATACCGAACTGGACGGTAGGGAAAAATATAAAATTATAATGTAAAAATTTGACGTTCATAAGCGGCTAAAATGTCCTACATGAATAAATGATTTTTGAATTTGAACTTTGAATTTGAATAGTGCATACACTGGATTTTCATTTAATGTTAGACATAGACACCTATATAAATACCTATGCATTGTAAATAAACTGGCTTTTAAAAAACAAAGTAATTCAATTGAATTTCTTGCCAGTTATTCTCAATTGGATCTATATACTGAACTGGACGGTAGGGAAAAATATATAATGTAAAAACTTGACGTTCATAAGCGGCTAGAATGTCCTACATGAATAAATGTTTTTTTAATTTGAACTTTGAATTTGAATAGTGCATACACTGGATTTTCATTTAATGTTAGACGTAGACACCTATATAAATATACATTGTAAATAAACTGGCTTTTAAAAAACAAAGTAATTCAATTGAGTTTCTTGCCAGTTCTTCTCAATTTGATCTATATACTGAACTGGACGGTAGGGAAAAATATTATAATGTAAAAACTTGACGTTCATAAGCTGCTAAAATGTCCTACATGAATAAATGATTTTTGAATTTGAACTTTGAATTTGAATAGTGCATACACTGGATTTTTGTAAGTGACATTGTAAGTAAATAAAAAAAAAAATCAGTTTATCGGGTTAATAATACCACAGATAATATAAATACAATGTTGTTGGTCGAGACGATGTATATTACAGATGTTAATAGACTGACCATATGTACAATTTTTTTCGGGCTACTCTAATGCTGTTGGCCGCAGCTGGCCTTTACAGCTTCACCGGACGATAGGGGGCGAGTGCAGATGGCACTCCAAACCAAAGGAAAGACTTATGGAGCGGCTGAAGGCCAGCTCCCGCCTGACGGATACGACTTTAGTCTAAGGGCACCACTAGGGGTTCGAACCTCGACTCAGGCCGTCGTAATATCGATCCCCGTTTGAATTGGACTGGGGATCGATCGGAGGGGCGGCCATATGTACATAGAAATAATGATCTTATATACTAAATAACAATTGGACAATGTAAGGTGGAGTGACACAGATCAGACACGGCAGTGCTTAGTACAAAATATTGAGTTTTTCTTACTAGATGCAATTATTATTTCTAGGTAACTGTCCCATAAGTTTCTTGCCAGTTCATCTCAATTGAATCTGTATTGTATCTGGAAATTAAGCGTTAGTAGAAAAAACTTGACAACTTACCTCTCGATGCCAGTCAGACGAGGATGGCGGTACTTCTTGGAGAACAGCAGACCGCCACCCCATGCAGCCTGCAACCAAGCATATTTAATAATAATAATAATAATCTCAGGACAAAAATAAAAACTTATTTGATTCTATCAACACGGTCTATCAATTATTATTCATTTAATTGAATTTAAATGCATTAAAAATAGATCACAGTGAGTAACACAAACAGTTTTGTATGTGTGTGTGTCTGTGTGTGAGTGTATGTGTATTGTTAGCACATGTGACCTCTTTTTGTATAAAAGCCAGAAAGTTATTGTAATTAAAATTAAAATAAAAACCTCTTTTCTTTCTATCAACACGGTCTATCAATTATTATTCATTTAATTGAATTTAAATGCATTAAAGAAAGAAAGAAAGAAAGAAAATTGTTTAATTGGTACACTGAAAATAATTTTTAAAATTAAGTTTACATTTTATATTAATAATTAGAGTACCAACTAGGTCTTCGCTCAGCATATGTCGTGACGGGGTGCCACGACGCTGGTTTTCAGCGGACACCTTATATACAATAAATATAATAAAATAATAATAATAATACACATACATACATAAATCCAGGCGGACAACACAAAGCAAACATTTACGACATAATACCATATATAAATAAAAACCAAACATAAACTACACACTGAAAACATAAAATAAACATAAACATAAATTCTGGTGATACTAGGATACCCTGCATTACCCCGCTCTTGGAGTGCAGACACATCACGGCACAGTCTGAGTGAGGAGGAGTATTTTTTTAAATTTATTTTTAAAAATCTGCACAGTTAAGGAATCTTTTATAGGAGGAGGTATATTATTCCAGCACTTCGTAGCAGAATAGCGAAAACTACCACGAAACGCTGCCGTTCTATGTGAGGGGCACATCAAATGAACGCCGCGTGAATGACGACTACTGAAATTCATTTTTTCGTAAAGATATTCGGGAATCTTTTTTTTTTACAACTTCAAATAGTAAGCTGGCAAAGTGTAGTTTACGCCGTGTTTCCATGCTCATAAGGTCTTTACTATTTAAATATGGTGATACGTGGGCTCTGCGAGGTATCGGAAAACAAAATCTTGCACAAGAATTTTGAACGCGCTGTATAATCTTTTTTGTGCGAGCTAAAAGACAACCACCTATGACTGTGTCCGCATAATTCAACTTGGATAAAATCAAGGATTCGCATAGATAAATTCGCATGTCCACGGATAAATACTGTCTAACCTTATATAATACCCTCAATCTGTAATAACATTGCTTAACAATATTATTTGCGTGTTTCTCAAATCTCAGATTGCTGTCCATCAATACACCCAAATTTCTAGCCTCTGATACTTGCTGAATATTAGCATTTTTTATAGTAACCACGGGGCCGTAACTATTAATTACATCTATTTGTTTTTTCGATCCAAGAACAATGAATTTAATTTTGGACGGATTTAAAACTAGACCGTTTTTTTCCGACCACTCTGCAATACGGTCCAATTCTTGGTTAATTTTACGCACAGCTGTCTCGGTTTCAGTGGGTATGAATGATTTGTAAACCTGGAGATCGTCAGCATATAAATGATATTCAGTATCTAATATGCATCCAGGTAAGTCAGCAGTATAAAGAATAAATAGGAGAGGTCCTAAAATAGAGCCTTGGGGAACTCCTTTATTTATAACAGCAGCGGCAGATACATTCCTTATACCATTGAGATTAGTCACTTCCACCCTCTGAGAACGATCCGATAAATAACTATAGAACCACTTCAGTGCAATATCATCAAACCCGTAATATGTTAGTTTCGCCATAAGTAGTTTAGTATTTAAAGTATAAAATGCGCGGGAATAATCAAGCAACACCAGAATTGCTCCTAGTCCGACGTCCTGGCCGGCCAGTATGTCATCAACCACATTCAAAAGCGCAGTAGAGGTACTCCTACCAGCTCGGAAACCTGACTGTTTCTGAGGTAAAATGTTATTTATATTAAGATATCCTCTTAACTGCATACATACTGCTTTCTCTATAATTTTTGATAGAAATGGTAGAATGCTAATTGGTCGTAGATCTTTTAATTCAGTGGGTTGACTGACTTTTGGAAGAGGTTTTACTATAGCTTCTTTCCATAGATCTGGAAAAATGCCACTAATCAGCGATGTATTAACAATATGAGTAATCACACCCAATGTTCTTGGCAATGTCAAAAGTATCATTTTTAAAGTTATACCATCTACTCCTTGTGCGTTAGTTTTAATACTATTTATTATTTTTAATACAACCGATTCATTTATCTCTTTCAAGCTGAATACCGCAGGGCAGAATCTATGATAATAAAAATACATTAATTGAGATATACTAATACTGTCATTGCCAGGGACACCAAGAAAATGATCATTAATGAGATCAGCGTCACCAAGGTGTTGTGGTAAATCGGAGCAATCCTTTTTAAAATCAACAATATTACGTTTTACGTTCCTCCAGAGGTTACGTGGATCATTCATGTTCTTATTTATGTAATATCTATAATACGCTCTTTTTTCGTTATATAAGGCAACATTAACTAAACTTTTAAGTTGTTTATAGTACTCTTTATCGACCTCCAATTTCGTACGATGACTTTTTGCGTGAGCTTTATCTCTCAATCTCATCATATCTTTAATAGTTTGTGTTATCCATGGGTAACTCCGGTCCTTTAAATACAATGTCTTTACAGGCGCATGAATATCAAATAAGGCACTAATAAGCATGTTAAAAACAGCGACTGACGCATTAAAAATAGATCACAGTGAGTAACACAAACAGTTTTGTATGTGTGTGTGTCTGTGTGTGTATGTGTGTGTGTTGTTAGCACATGAAACTTTTTTGTATAAAAGCCGTAAAGTTATTGTAATTAAAATCAAATAAACACTTATTTTCTTTCTATCAACATGGTCTATCATTTATTATTCAGTTTATTGATTTTAAATGCATTAAAAATATATCACAGTGAGTAACACAAACAGTTTTGTGTGTGTGTGTGTATGTGTGTGTCTGTATGTGTGTGTGTGAGAGTGTACTCACGTCGACGTGCATCCACATGTCGTACTTCTGGCAGATGTCAGCGATGTCCATGAGGGGGTCGAACGCGCCCAGCACAGTGGTGCCCGATGTGGCGTTCACGAAGAATGGTACCTGCACAGAACAATACACTATAATAATCTATATAAAAATTACGTGTCACGTTGTCTGTCCGCGATGGACGACTAAACTACTGAACCGATTGCAAATTTGATTTGCACATTGTGTGCAATTTGATCCAACTTGAAAGATAGGATAGCTTACATCTCAATTTATAGTCGCAATATTATTTTATTCAAGAACCTTAGCCGCAGCAACGCGAGGCCGGGTTTGATAGTTTTATATATATTAATACGTGAAGTGAAAGTCTCGTCAAAATCTGTCCAATCGTTTCAGAAATTAGCGAGAACAAACAAATAGACAAAAATATGTAAAATTTACTTTTTTATGTAAGTATATAACTTTCACGTTTCAATAGTCTTGCTCACTAAAATGTCCAGACGTGTGGCGGCGTGGTGGGCCGGGTCATTGGGCTCCCTAAAATATGGTCGAGCGCAGTGATGGCTGGCTCATCCGTCGTACTCGTGAACGTGCTGCTTCTAGGGACTGGTCTGCTCTTATCACTACGACTTATTTAATCTTATTGTGTATTTAAATTTGATCCAAAAAATTAGTGCTGGTTGGTAGTTTGTATTCACACGTTTCGACTTGTAAAATGTAAACTTACAAGGATTATTTAAAAGAGCAACACACAAGTTTCTTGCTCATTCTTCTTGTGATGAGACTGCTTTCCGAATAAGCGGTAGATTTAAAAAAATTGCTGACTATTCAAAAGTGCTTAAATTAACTTCTATTCTAAAGTTACTATAGTGTTCACTTATTTGTTATTTACGTCTTCTTGTATCTCCTGGTATGTAAGTTGTTATCGACATAATATCGGCTCGTTAGCCACAGCTCCACGTCTTTACTCCGCGGCGCTTGCGCAGGGAACATCCCCTCCGATCGATCCCCAGTCCAATTCAAACGGGGATCGATATTACGACGGCCTGAGCCAAGGTTCGAACCCCTAGTGGTGCCCTCAGACTAAAGTCGTATCCGTCAGGCGGGAGTTGGCCTTCAGCCGCTCCATAAGTCCTTCCTTTGGTTTGGAGTGCCATCTGCACTCGCCCTCTATCGTCCGGTGAAGCTGTAAAGGCCAGCTGCAGCCAACAGCATTAGAGTCCGAAAAAAAAGCGGGGAATCTGTCCCCTCCTGCGCACGGGGCTAGATAATAAACCGCTAGTGTTTCCACATACACTATAACTACATTATTTATTTATTTAAATAGCTTTATATAAGTAAAGAGTACATATGGCGGACGATACCTAATGGCATTTTCTACCAGGCAACCATGTTGTGCAGAGATAACTTATTGGCGTATGTGCGTACTTACATTGCCTCTATCCTTGTGGTAGCGGACGAGCCTCTCCAGCTCAGTAGCAATCATGCGACCGTGTTCATCTGAAGGTACGCAGATACAGTAATCCGTTCCCAGGCCGCACACAGACGCGCACGACTTCACCGAATAGTGGCACTGAATACATTAATTATTAGATTAGATGAGATTAGAAAATGTTATTATTAAAGCCTAAGTTACTGCTGAGAAAATTAGCTACCTGCGAGTGAAAGTTTTATCTAAATCGGTCCAGCCGTTTCAGAGATTAGCTTGAACAAACAGACAGGTAGACAAACAAAAAACATAATTTTTGATAGAAGTACCGTGTATACGTTCTTATGGATTTAGTGAGTGAAACAGAGTTTATATAGGTTGTTTTATATCATTACTAGCTACTCGCCCCGGCTTCGCACGGGTGTACAAGTATTATACATATAAAACTTCCTCTTGAATCACACTTCTTTAAAAAAAAAACCGCTTCAAAATCCATTGCGTAGATATAAAGATTTAAGCATACATAGAGACATAGAGACAGCGACAGCGATTTTGTTTTACAGTATGTGATGACTGAGATAATTAAAAAACAATACTATCACCTAATGCTATAACCAGAAATGATACCTATTCTAAAATTATGACCTTGCGATTCCCCATGGATTGATGAAATAAAGAGGGATATTGGCGAAAAGACCAAGAACTAATCAGAGGGATGTATAATTGCATAATACACGTCACGTCGATGTATAATAAATTCTAAATCTAAATTAAAATTCAAAATTCAAAATTCAAAACTAAAAATTCAAAATTAAAAATTCAAAATTCAAAATTCAAAATTCAGAATTTAAAATTCTAAATTCTAAATTCTAAATTCAAAGATCAATTTCAAAATTCAAAATTCAAAGTTCAATTTCAAAATTCAAAATTCAAAATTCCATATTCAAAATTCAAAATTCAAAATTCAAAATTCAAAATTCAAAATTCAAAATTCAAAATTCAAAATTCAAAATTCAAAATTCAAAATTCAAAATTCAAAATTCAAAATTCAAAATTCAAAAACAAAATTCAAAATTCAAAATACAAAATTCAAAATATAATATTCAAAATTTAGGTAACACTATTTTACAACTACATTCTGCAGTTGTTGAAGACTACTTTTAAGCATAAAGATGCAAAAGGGGCTCCACATATCCAATTTATATACGTCGATTCACCGTCATTATTTCGCTTATATATCCACGTTTTAATTGAAATAATAAATTTAGAGAAAATCACATCACTGGACATGTTTAAACTCAAAACGACAGAAAAAACATTCCACTCTAACAAAAGTCTATTGGTTGATGGGAGATAGGCACGAAAAAAAAGAAAAATTTGGTCGGTTAATTTGGCTCTAGACCCTCGCGCTTCGTAGAATTTTGACCGATTATCGTAGGTCAAAATCTTAGACTAACTTGTCCTCTTACCGAAGACCAAGATCTTTTTATCTGTAGAAGGACTCTCGTAAAATTCATCAACATCATCATCATTTCAGCCTGTAGTATTTGTAGGAGGATTCTCGTAAGATTTATCATCATTTTAGCTTATATCTGTCCACTGTTGGATATAGGCCTCTTTCCCAATGCCTTCCATCCCGTGCAATCTTCCGCCTTCCGATTCCATGCACTCCCGAAGAAGGTGCTTCATGTCGGTCCATCTTGTAGGGCGTGCTGGGCGCCCTACAAGATGGACCGACTGGACAAGAAGATCCGTCGACTCGCACGCAGCCTCCACTACATATTTTTTCGGCCCCATCTACAGACTTTCGGTCGAGCCGTAAATGGCCTCTACCCCATAACTTTTCTACACCATCTACCATCGGTGACTCGGCTGATATGCGGCCTACTGCCATTTCAGTTTTGAGGATACCTTTTGAGAGAACTTTGGTTCTCCGTCGAATTTCCTCGTTTCGTCATGTTCCTTAGAGAAACTCCGAGCATAGCTTTCTCCATCGCCTCCTGTGCGACTTGTAATTTGTAAACTATACTACTGAATCTATTTAACAACAAGAAGTACCTGATCGGAGGTGAACATGACGAGGTGTCCAGGAATGCTGGTGAGGCCCTTCTCCTTGTACTGCGGGAACTTGTGGTGGCGAGCCGCCAGGAATGCATATAAATTGGAGACGGAGCCACCTGGTGGAAGAATGTAAACCTCATCATTATATACACTGGAGTTTAGTCCCACTGTTGGACTTACTTAAACCTGATATTCTAGGTGATCTAGAGGTTTAACACTGTTTTTCTTTCGTTAGTCGCAGGTTTGATTCTTTGTATAATAAAAACGTATTGTATGTATTTGTATTCGTTGTCTAGTACCCATAACACAAGCTCTAATTTGCTTGGAACTAGATGGCGCTGTTGCTTGGACTATCATTATTACTTCTCTGCTTTGGGGGTTGTGAAGGAGATTGTTAGTTATTAATGGACTGACATTTCAGGTTGTCCCTGGAAACCTCATGATAAATTCCTGGTGTATTTGTTACGATGGGCTAACTGACCTGACCTTGTAGTCATCTTATCATCCTCCTCTGGTGTCACGTCAGCATAAACCGTTAGGGCAGAAGAGTGCACTGTTCCATTAAAAAAAACCTCTGCTTTGCAACCGTCGCTTACTTACATCATCCCGGATATCATGTGATGCTCGTTATATAAAAAAAACACTTACCAGGTGCCAGAATGGAGTCTCCAGATTTCCAGCCGATCATGGTCCTCATCTTCTCCAGCACGACGTTCTCCATCAGGATGAAGACGGGGGCTATCTCGTAGGTGAACATGTTGGTGTTGGCAGCTGCCGTCAGCCATTCCCCAGCCAGGGAGATGATGTCCAATCCACAGGAGAGTTGGTTGAAGAAATGGGGGTGGCCTGGGGATGAAGCATAATATTAATACGTGAAGCAGACGGCAAGATGTTGTTAATAATAGGGACTAATGACCCTATAGCTAGCCATGTACCATGTAAAGCGACTTCCACACGGTTCCCTCTGGAAACCATTGTGTTTAATTTCTGGTGATTTCATCACGATGGGCTGACTGACCTGACCTCAATGTCATTATCATCCTCCACTGGTGCTCCGCCAGCGTAAACCCTACTATTATCATCCATTAAAAAAAATACGTAAAGCAAATCGTAACCAAACCTTAATTCAACCCAAATATTACTGTTCCTAAAAACTCTATTTCTGGCAACACTTAAAAATTTTTTTTTTTATTGTGTGATGGTGACAAACACAAACGGTTTAAAGGTTAATGTAGCCTATGGACGCCTGAAACACCAGGTTGTCAGTTCGCGTTGCCAACCCTTCAGATGCCTTAATACCCTTCTTGAAAAACCCCATGCTGTAGTCTCGTGAGAAAACGTCTTTGACGTAGTCTAGTGTTTTGAATAGTCATGCTCACTAAAATGTCCAGACTTGTGGCGGCGTGGTGGGCCGGGTCATTGGGCTCCCTAAAATATGGTCGAGCGCAGTGATGGCTGGCTCATCCGTCATACTTGTGAACGGGTGCTGCTTGTAGGGACTGGTCTGCTCTAATCACTATGACTGATTTCCTCTTATTGTGTGGGTTATATATTCAATTTTTTTTTCTATTTGAGTATTTAATAGAATTAGTGCTAATTGGTGGTTTGTATTCACACACTTAAACTAAAAAATGTAAAGTAATAATAAAATTATTTAAAAGAGCAACACGCAAGTTTCTTGCTCGTTCTTCTTGTGATGAGACAGCTTTCCGAACGAGCGGTAGATTAAAAAATGTAATGACTATTCAAAAGTGCTTCAATATAAGTTTATTTGAATAAATGATTTTCTATTCTATAAAACATCGGCAGGTAGATCATTCCATGATGTAAGTGTACGCGGGAATTTTACTCTAATTTAATTGCATTAACATATTCCCACTACAAATCATATTTCAGAGATTGCAAAGTACACATACAATAGAACAAAAAAAAATAATAAAAAAACATAATAAAGTAGGAACAATTCACATAGCGCAATCTAGTCCCAAGGTAAGTAGAGCTTGTGTTATGTTCAGATTTTTTTATAAATAGATACATAACATTACGTTGAAAACACCCAGACCGATACAAACAATCATGCTCATGAATACAAATGTTTTTTTTTTTCCACAGACATATTCGTCCGTGCCTTTTTTAATTTACTTTAATATTATAATATTTATTTAATTTCCATTTTTGTACAACTCCAGCCGAGATGTTACAATTTGCCTAACAGTGACACCGAGGCAGACCTTATCCGTCTGGCCCAGAACCACCGCTGGCCGGCCGGGTGAGTTGACAACATGCAGTGTCACCCATCTTTATTTGGAGGATTAGATTTATCAATATGCATATACAATTATATAAATCTTACACTACTAGAATACAAATGTTTGTGCCGTGTGAGGAATCGAACCCGCGACCACATTCACTACGTTTAGAACAACTAAACAAAGTTTTAGTTTATTTGTCTTTCAGGCAATTTTGTAAGAATGACATCACGTCCGGCTGTAAACCGGAAACAATCTAGCGGTGCAATGGCGCGTACGATTGCATCCGGTTCGGGGCGAAAGGTCTGCCGCGAAATACAATTATTGTGTAGTTTTCACGTTTGTTTTAGATGTTATCATTGAAATAGAAAACCTTTGAATTTCCAATAACATTATTTATTAACCCCTCTTTTGGTGTAGGCCTACTCCATCTTTTTACAAGATTCTCTGTTTTTGCTCGTAGTTAACCATTTTTTTTCGTACTACCTAATGCTGTTGGCCGCAGCTGGTCTTTACAGCTTCACCGGACGATAGAGGGCGAGTGCAGCACTCCAAACCAAAGGAAGGACTTATAGAGCGGCTGAAAACCAACTTCCGCTGGACGGTTACCACTTTAGTTTGAGCGCAATGCTCAGGGTTTGAACCTCGTCTCAGGCCGTCGTAATTTCGATCCCCCTTAGAATTAGAAGGACGTAAAAATGTGGTATTTTATTTTTATTAAATTAAATACTCTATGGTTATTTATTATTATTATTATTGTATATATTTAATTCTTTTTCCTTTCTGTAAAAATGTCTAAATATTATTTAATGAATTTATATTATTTAGTTTATTTATTATGTCTTTATTTGATATAAAATTTGTGTTAAAGCCCTTTAAACTATATTAATAAAAAGGTTGTTTATAGAATAGAATAGAATAGAATAGAAAATCATTTATTCAAATAAACTTAATTTAAGCACTTTTGAATAGTCATAACAATTTTTTTTATCTACCGTACGTTCGGAAAGCTGTCTCATCACAATAAGAACGAGCAAGTATTGTGTGTTGCTCTTTTAATTCTTGTAAGTTTACATTTACAAGTCGAAACGCGTGAATACAAACTACCAACCAGCACTAATTTTTTGGGTCAAATACAATAAGATTAATTCAGTCCTAGTGTAAAGAGCAGACCAGTCCCTACAAGTAGCTCTCGTTCACGAGTATGACGGATGAGCCAGCCATCACTGCGCTCGATAACTTAACAAGGAACATTTTTAGGAATGCTAGGGGGCATGTCAGTCATGATTAACTCAAAAGTTTTATTATTTCCCAAATTTGAAATAATAGCCAAACTAAATATTACATAAAACGAAATATCTTGGAAAATCGTTCAAGATCCTATAATTCTATTCGATGGCTGCCGTTATTAGACATTAAATTGTGTTCTGAGATGGGATTATAAAACTGGGCGCCATCTTGGCTATTTCCTGCCAAATAGCCCCCGCCATATTGTACCGGCCATTAAGAGAAGTATATATAGGAGACTAAATCTAAAACAACTTTTTCCAGATAATCTTTTTTAATATTATGGGATGGATAGAGGTCATTTAAGTATCAATAAATAACGTGGTCCTAGGTTATAGAATATCGTAATACAAAATTATTATACTATGAGCTTCAATACATAAAGAACACTCAGTTGACTAATTTGTTACTTACATTTCAAATTTAAAACCATAGCGAGTCGTGATGTTGGTGACGTCACGATTATGCTGCCACCAATAGGAATAAAGATAAAGAGGCCGGGAACAGGAAGAGAGTGGGCTGCTCTCACTCTGTTCGAGGCGACCGAGACGATCAGACGTGAATGTACAGCGACGCAATTTATGTGGAGTGTAATTTGAAAAAGGAATATAATAAAAGTACTGCTGCATCGACGTATCATTTCTGAAACTTCCCAATAAACCCTATAAGGATACATATAATAATAATAATAATAATAATCTCAGGACAATTCACACAGCGCCATCTAGACCCAAGTTAAGCTAGCTAAAGCTTGTGTTATGGGTCCTAGACAACTGATACAAATACATAGATATTTTTTTTTTTCGTAAATACATACATATTATACATAGAAAATACCCAGACCGATACAAACAATCATACTCATGAATACAAATGTTTGTGCCGTGCGAGGAATCGAACCCGTGACCATCGGTCGTAAAGCGGTAGACTAGACCGCTAGACCACCGAGGTCGTCATATGAAAATACAGTGGACCCGGTAGTCCGACAATCATTTTGCAGGGCAGTGTCGGACTATCGAATTTGTCGGATTATAGAGTACTGCCTAAGACCCCTTATAGTCCGATTTTTTTTACAAAAGAGTACCTTGTAATCCGACAAATTATAGATCCAATGATGATTCTTTGTATTATATACCTATACAGTGGACCCCCGGTTATCCGACAAACGTTTTGCAGGGCAGTGTCGGACTATCGTATTTGTCGGATTATAGAGTGCTGCTTAAGGGTCCTGTACTACGGAAGGCGTTGCATTATCAGTAAGATCGCTTTATATTTTTAGTTCTATTACCTTTTAATTTTGTTTATTTCCTTTCAAAGTGAACATTCATCTGGTTACACTAATAATGAGTGCGTATCGATTTCTGTTGATTATCGCATGCCTCTTACTTGTTATACTGTAATCTATACATATCAATAAAATTGAAGTGTCTGTTTGTAATATTAAAATAACCGCTTTATACTACATGCATATGAATATAAATAAGGTATATACAACAAAATATATTTTTTTACATTTTGTCTGTCTGTCTGTCGGTCTGTTTGTTCCGGCTAATCCCTGAAATAACTGGACGGATTATGACGGGACTTTTTTTGGCAGGTAGCTGATGTAATAAGGAGTAACTTAGGCTACTTTTATTTTAGAAAAATAAAGTTAAATTCCACGTGGACGAAGTCGCGGATACAGCTAGTTATTATATAAAAATCATCTAATCAAAAGAGCAACACACAAGTTTCTTGATCATTCTTCTTGTGATGAATCTGCATTCCGAATGAGTGGTAGAATCAAAATATGACTATTTAAAAGTGCTTGTAATGAGTTTATTTGAATAAAGATTATTTCTATTTCTATTAAAGTATTCTAAATATATATATCCTATGAGAGACTAGTTTTTTAATGAACAATCAATCTCCAACCCTCGCCCTTCCATAACATTCCCCGAAGAGACTTTTTATGTCGTTTAGATCTGTTTATCAACACACGCCCTCGTGGTCGGGACATACCGATAAGCTTTGTGTGAATCTCCTCTTATTTTTTATCTTTTGTAATAAAGAATAATTTATTATGGACCAGTTTTGTGTATGTGGCAACTGAGAAATTGTAGATTTTTTATTTTTTTTATTTTAGTTGTTTCACTGACATTATTTCTTATTAACATATTGACTTCAGTTGCGATTTGATCCAGCAGAACTTTTCGTAGGGCTAGTTGTGTTTCACTAGGTGTTTATTATATATTTGTATAGATGACACACATATAGATATTTACTTTATTTACATAACTTAATTGTACAACTAAGAACCTAAAATTAAAA